AGGCTTCCCCAGCTTCGTGTTGGAGCTGCACAGCCTTCGATCGGTCCTGAACAAACTTCCTTACTCTCTAATAGTATTGGTCCATCGGCCCTCTACTGATCTGGGTCCCGGAGCGCAGGAGGTGTTGCATATATGGTTGTCAATGTCATAGTTCACATCAGTGCTTGCAGTTCCAGTGCATTCCGGTTGTAGAAAAAAAAAAGTACAATACGCTGCATTTTTGCTGCACAAAACTGTACCAGAACGCAGTAAAACACATCAAAACTGCACTGGCATACACATGTCCCTATTTAAATTGAAGGAAAAGAGAGGGAGAAGAATTAACCAAAAACGTACTGGAATGCATAAAAATGCACTGGAATGCACCAAAAATGCACCGGAACGCACCAAAAATGCACCTGCAGAAACGATCCGGAACACATCTGGACTAAGTTTTTATGGTGTGGCCCTTTAGGCCAGGTTCACACAGTAATGCGCGTAACATGTTGCTGCACTGAGGTTCCTATTTTTTTTAATGCTGAACCAATGCACTTGCGTTGTAGTGCGCTGCTTGTGCAATGTTAAGCATGATAAGGTGCGTTGGCAGTTCACTCATTTTGAACAGCCTTCTTCAATGCCACGCATGTTAATGTGCAACATGACGCGTGTGCGTTAATGCACCACAAAAGGCATAAATGGGCCCTTAATATTAGATATAGAAAATTTTATTACAAAATGCACTCCTAATCCCCAGTCATATGTGAAATTTACAAAAGAAGGAAAGCGCTTCTAAGTGCAGTACGAAAGACATTTATTTCTAAACAATAAAAAAGCCACTCACATCATGGAGGTTAAAGAGGCTCATCAATGAGATAATGTATTATAATGCTATAAAGCGCCACAAAAATATTGATCACACAAACGAAAGTGCAGCTCCCAGTCCAATACCCCCCCAGGTATGAAAGTCTTTGCTATGCCAGCAAAAGCACACCACATCGTATTCCAACCCTCCTATTTTCCCATCGAGATCTCCTTTTGCTCGAATGTGTTGTATGCAATGCAATCTCTCCCTCTCCTGTGATCTTCCAATGTGCTGATCCAAATCTCCAAAAAGAAAAAACTAATACAGTCTAGTATTTCTTATACTCAATAAATTGCATCCGCAGCTATGTGCAATAAAGTGTGCATTAAACAAATGGCAATTGTCCAATGATATCCAAGTCCCAGCTGGAGGCAACCACAACTCGCACGGAGGGAGACTGAAGATGGAGAAAAGCCGGCCAGCATGTGTGTTTCCAATGGAGGGTGGTGGACCGTACCTTGGAGCGCAGCGTCGGTGTCAGTGTGATGACGTAGGAGGGACCAGCATGCAATGCGACGCATTTTGGGGCATGTGCAAGGCCACTGGGGGGAGAACACGCTCCTTTCTCAAGCAAAGGCTAATGCAATAGTACGGACACTGCCCAAGGGATCAGGCAGGGAGCTGTCCAGCATTTCAAGTGGCACAGTAAAAAGAGATCCAAGAGAGGTCCCAGATCCAGGTCCAGATCCTGACAGTATCTCCATTGGTTGTAGGGTTGTTGAATCAATAAGGCGCTCATACATACATCACAAATATCAATAAAGCGTTAATAATCAATATACATAGAATGAGTCCATGTACACTGTGCAAAATACGCCAAATAGGAAAGCTTATTTATTGCTAAAAGTGCACTTATAAAGCAAATATTAAACAAAACGCATTCAAAACCATAAAATATGCGGCACCAGACTTCCTACTCGGCCCATGTAAAAGGCTGGCTGCCGTTGGCAGCAAGGGGTTAAATTCTCAAGGGCCTCTGCACATAAAGCCGCTGTGGATCAATTCATGTTGTAATTTTAAGGCAGAAACAGTAAAGTTATTCAAGTCAGTTCTCAGCACTTTTTTCTCTTCCCGTGCTCCTGCTCTGTGTTTACATTAGAGAGTAGAAGGCCAATAGGCTGCCACCTCGCTGCTGGCTGGGGGAGCAAACACAGGAGAGAAAGTATAACTGAGAAGCTTCTTCTGCAAACTTTGATGATGAATTGCTCCACAGTGCCAGCACCTACAGAGGTCAGCGAGTGCTTGTCATAAAATGTAAGGGAACGTTGTTTTTTTTGGGTGATAGATTATTAGTTCAGCTCTGGGTAACAAAACCTTGTTTGTTTCTCCACCCTTTAAAGTGCATTTACTGCTTTTTAGGAATATGTAAATATTTGAAAGTCATAGCCAAGCCACACTTTAAAGCGGTATTAAACCCAAAAGCAAAAATGTAATATATTGCAGCTTACCAATCATTAGATGTGGTGGCTGTATTAGTTTTTTTTTCTTGTTTTACCTTGTGATCTGGCCAGTAACACCTCTCCTCTAAAAGTGGCCATTCATACTGTGCAATTTGCGAATTGAAATTGCATCTGAAATGGCATCTAATGAATATGAATGTCAGTGTCTTAACATTTGCGATTTTCTGCAGCACGTTCTCTAAAGTAGTTCTTGCATTACTTTTTCTGCAGTTTTGTTGCACTTTCACATATATAGAATATAATGGTAATCTCACTGCAAACTGCAAGAAATTGTTGAAAATCTTCACAATAGCAATAAAGACTTCAGAAATCGCACCTGAAATCACTCTGAAATTGCACAAAAATCGCAGCAGTGTGCCCGGTGACTAAGAGTGCCCCCACTCTGGATAATTGAGCACAGAGGTGCCTTTGGACAGTAGCATTGTCAGTGTAGGGGGAGGGGAGAGGTAAATATACTAGCAGATTTAAATTTACTAACAATTTGAAGCTCCAGCTAATACTTTATCAGCAGTTACAAGAAACAGTTTTTTTCCTTTTGGGATAAAGGTTTTACATAAATAAGTAAAAGCTGATCATTGTAAGCATTCTGCTAGTGTTAAATGGTTTTCTCATCACTGTAACTAATACAGTCTGCTGGAGAGCTTGTTCTTTTGAAAAATAACAGACTTACTGGCTAGATCACCAGATGAAAGTAGAAGACAGAAAGCCTAAACAAGAATAACACATGCAGCCAACACATCTAAGAAATAGTAAGCTGCCATCAGGGGCGGACTGACTATTTGGAAACTCGGGCACTGCCTGAGGGCCTGGGGTCAGTAGGGGGCCCCATGAGATGCCCTTGGTACCTTTTTCATAGGCTTTTTTTAATTTGGGCAAGGACACAGGGGCCCCAAGGTTCCCCTTTGCCCGGGGGCCCCATGAGTTGTCAGTCCACCTCTGGCTGCCATGTAATAAATGTTTGCTTTTGGGTTTAATACCATTTTTAAAGCAAAAAGAGTTGAGGCTTATATTAAAGTGGTTGTAAAGGCTTCTGATTTTTACCTTAATTCTGTCTCTGCATTAAGGTAAAAAACCCTTTTAAGTGCAGCTCCTGCCCAGCCGCGCTCACGATCCAGCGCTATGCCCAAGAGCAGCAGTGCTGCTCTCACTCCCCCTCCTCACTGGACAGCACTTTGCTGCTGTCAATCAAATCCAGTGACTTGGGACCAGGGGGCGGGACCAAGATGCACTGTCTGTCAATAGACACACACAGCACGGCTCAGGATCAAGCCCATCCATGTGCTACCATATGAAGCAGCTTCCTATGGTGGCACATGGAGCAGAGGAAGGGCCCAGAGCACTAGTGTGGCCCCTTAGAAGAGGAGGATTGGAGCCACTCTGTGCAAAACCATTATACAAAAGATCAAATATAACATGTTTGTTAATAATTTGTTTTAATCACATTAATTATGACATTGGCGCTATAATTTGTTGCAGGTTTACAATCTCAGATAGTGCTTGTATATTATCTAAAGTGAGAATAGTTTGCAGGAATGCTACAATCAGAAAAAAAAATGGAGTCATGATGGAAGTAAGTTAGGCATTTGGCAAAAGAGATCTGCTATTATATAATACAATGTAACAATGCTGCTAAAGTCTTCGGAATGGATACTTTTCTTTGACCCCCTCAATGTACACAACTGAGGAAGCCAGCCCTGGCAGTGGACAGGACCTCTATGACTGTTATCCCAATGGCACCCTTGGCATCCATACAACAAAAGTTTTGACCAATTCAGAATAGAGGCAAAAACTCTCCGTTATTGAAGGCAACGTTCAGCACCGCAGACAGGTCCACGTTTATGTATAAAGGATATAAAAGAGAAGTCATGCTGATTCATTCTTTTGCTTTTACATAGGCCGCTTTCACACTGATCAGTTTTTCTTCTGTTTTTGCGTTACAAAAAGCGGAAGAAAAAACGCATGACTATTAAATCCTATGGAACTCTTCGCACTGGTCAGCTGCAGGTGCGCTGCATTTTTCAAAGTCCTGCAAGCTGCATTTTTGGTGCGCGTTTGGTGTGGTAAAAAAGCCACACCAAAAAATGCACCTCCCTATTGAAATGAATGGAAAATGTATCAAAAACGCATAAACAATGTGGCAAAAACGCATTAAAAACTCACGGATGGTTGTGTTTGTGGCTGACCTTGGGATCATGTAGGCTTCTGTCCAGTATTTGTATGTTGTTCTAGGCTGCTGACAAGATAAGATCTGGAGAAGCTGTGAGCTATTAAAAGTCATGATGCTGTAAATCATAATCTAGGTTATAAAAAGTGCAGCTTCATTGTTGGACAGATGCTGGTGTGTTGAGTCATCTGGGACTCTGACAGTGAGAACTTTGATACTTCTACCTTCCATTATCAAGCTACAGCCATCAGAAAGTGCTTTCAGACGCACTGATTGAAATACATGGGATGCAACTTGTCATGCGACTTTGAAGTCCTAAGTCACATGACAAATCGCATTGGGGTGAACGGGGGCTTACTCTCCCTTCTAGATTCTCCTTTCATTTTATAACATGAGGAATAGAGTAGGAGTTGGGAACTCCAGCACAGGGGCGGACTGACAACTAATGGGGCCCCCGGACAATAGGGGATCATGGGGCCCCTGTGTCCTTGCCCAAACTCAAAAAAGCCTATGAAAAAGATACCAGGGGCATCTCATAGGGCCCCCTACTGACCCCGGGCCCTCGGGCAGTGCCCGAGTTTCCAAATGGTCAGTCTGCCCCTGCTTCAGCATGTATATCCATCACCCTACCCCTTGCATTCTCCTACAGCATATACACAGCTATACACTTCTGGCAAAGTTGCGTGGATGTGTCTCCCCACTGAGGTTCCATCTAACAACCCCTATGTCACCCCTATGTCACTGCTGTGCCCTGTAGTGATGAAGGGGTCAGAGGATGGAACAATGGTGTGGCAGCAGGAAACACCGACAAATGACACTCCTGGAAGTGTCAAATGTTGAAGAGACTGGTGGAGGCTGTAGTGCTTGAATAAAGGGAAAGTTGGAGTTGAGGGCAGTTACCAACTCTTCATTTGCAGAAACCCTCCAGCATATTGTTTTTTACATGGAAGAGTCACTCCTAACCAGGGGCGGACTGACCATTTGGAAACTCGGGCACTGCCCGAGGGTCCGGGGTCATTAGGGGGCCCCATGAAATGCCCCTGGTACCTTTTTCAAAGGCTGTTTTTGAGTTTGGGCAAGGACACAGGGGCCCCATGATCCTCAATTGCCCCATGAGTGGTCAGTCCCCCCTGCTCTTAACTTAGAGCTCCTCTTAATTTGAAATGTGACAAACTCTTATCAATAAGCCTTTTCATGACTGAGTAAGCACCAATTTGCAGATGGAAAAAAAGAGACAGTTAGACATGAAAACCACTCTGGGAGATGCATATGATGAATATATTTTATACATTAACCAATTATATATAAAATATATAAAACATTAGTGCGCTGTACATTAAAAAAATCATAAACAATGATAAATCAAATAAATACTGCTACATAAAAATGTGCATAAATTAATTGAAATGATATATTAACAAATTATACAATGTACATAGTGCTGACATTTTCCTTGCAGAGCTTTGCAGAGAATTCTGACCCATTCACATCAGTCACTGTTCCCCAACGGCCAATTAGGTTACAAGTATGGATTGTGGCATTAAACCCAACACATGGAGAACATCCAGATATATAGTGTCCCTGGTGGGAACTGAATCCAGAATCCCAATGCTGAATGACAAGAATGCAAACCACTTCATCACTGGATGTACTGTACACAATACTGAATATACATCCCATATATAAAGTCACTATACAAGTATATTCCTACAGTTGTAGATGAAGCAAAAGAAAACCAGAATGATACCAATATAAAGCTCATAATGTCTTACAGGCAATCCAAACTTACTGTGACATGAAGATCCAAGCTTTCCAAATGAAATAATACAAAGTCATGTCCATGTTTAGATATATTCTTCACAAATGTACACCTTTATGCATCACAGTACAGTGTAATCACACAAAGACAAGTTCTATTGTTTGGACAGTTCTGGGCCCACTTTCAGATTATACAACATCTATTCTCAACAAGAGTTCTGTGGAAGCCCAGGGTTCTTCCAGAGGTTGCTGAGGTTTCCTTGAGCTTTGGCTGATTGATCTTCCATATGATGGTACCTACATAATTCGGAGTCGAACAATGTTTGGCAGAGCCCTCAGAATGACACCCATTATCTCCTGGTCAGTCTGTAAAGGTGGCATTGTAGTGAAAGCGTTCTCCCCAATGACAACCAATGTAAGGGGCATTCTACCCAATGACAACCAATGTAGGGGCATTCTACCCAAAAACAACCAATGTATGGGGCATTCTACCCAAAAACAACCAATGTATGGGGCATTCTACCGAATAACAACCAATGTATGGGGCATTCTACCCAATAACAACCAATTTAAGGGGCATTCTACCCAATGACAACCAATGTATGGGGCAATCTACCCAAAGATCCCCAATGTAAGGGGCATTCTTCCCAATGACCCCCAATGTAAGGGACATTCTCCCCAATGACCCCCAATGTAAGGGGCATTCTCCCCAATGAAAGGGACATTCTCCCCAATGACCCCCATTGAAAGGGACATTCTCCCCAATGACCCCCATTGAAAGGGACATTCTCCCCAATGACCCCCATTGAAAGGGACATTCTCCCCAATGACCACCAATGTAAGGGGCATTCTCTCCTATGATTACCAATGTAAGTGGCATTATACCCAATGACCTCCATATTTAAGGGGCATTCTCCCCAAAGGCCACCAATGTAAGGGGCATTCTCCCCAAAGGCCACCAATGTAAGGGGCATTCTCCCCAAAGACCACCAATGCAAGGGGCATTCTCCCCAAAGACCACCAATGCAAGGGGCATTCTCCCCAAAGACCACCAATGTAAGGGAAATTCTCCCCAATGACCACCATTGTAAGGAACATTCTTCCAACTGACATCTAATGTAGGGGACATTCTCCCCAAAGACCCCCAATGTAAAGGGCATTCTCCCAAATGACCCCCAATGTAAGGGGCATTCTCCCCAAAGACCCACAATGTAAGGGAAATTCTCCCCAATGACCACCAATGTAAGGAACATTCTTCCAACTAACCCCCAATGTAAGGTACGTTCTCCCCAAAGACCCCCAATGTAAGGGACATTCTCCCCAAAGACCACCAATGTAAGGGGCATTCTCCCCAAAGACCACCAATGTAAGGGGCATTCTCCCCAAAGACCACCAATGTAAGGGCATTCTCCCCAATGACCACCAATGTAAGAAACATTCTTCTAACTAACCCCCAATGTAAGGTACATTCTCCCCAAAGACCTACAATGTAAGGGGCATTCTCCCAAATGACCCCCAATGTAAGGGGAATTCTCCCAAATGACCCCCAATGTAAAGGGCATTCTCCCAAATGACCCCCAACGTAAGGGGCATTCTCCTAAATGACCCCCAACGTAAGGGGCATTCTCCACAAAGACCACCAATGTAAGGGACATTCTCCCCAATGTAGGGGATATTCTTCCCACTGACCACTGGTATAAGGAGTACTCTTCCTAATGACCCTCGATAATCAAAGTGGTATTAAACCCAAAAGCAAATCTGTATTATACTGCAGCTTACCAATTCTTAGATGTGATGGCTGTATGTATTTATTTTTTTTTAGACTTTCTTTCTTCTACATTATTTTCATCTGGTGATCTGTCCAGCAAGTCTGTTGTTTTTCAGAAGAACAAGTTCTCCAGCAGAATGTATCAATTACAGGGATGAGACAAACCATTTCCCACTGACAATGTTGCTTACAATGATCATCTTTTATTTATGTAAAAACTTTATCCCAAAAATGAAAAAAAAAAAAAAACCTGCTTGCAGTAACTGCTTATCCCCTTCCGGCCTGTGCTTCCCGGCCCTTTAAGAGGTTTCAGACGCCAGGAGGTGGAGATGGGCATTTCGGATGTGTGACCGCCGTGATTGGCTGTCACATGATTGGAAAGCTCCCAATCTCAAGGAGCTTTTTGTTACCCGCCGATAACTGTGGCGGGAACGCGCAGGGTGTGTACTCTCGCCACAACTTTATTTAGATTTTGGTACGCATATACGTGGCCTCTCGGCATTAAAGTGTTACTAAACCCACAACAGTAAAATCAGTCTGTATATGCAGTAAAGCATGCTTGTTATACTCACTGTGGAACCTAAGGGGTTAATCCTCTGCATTGTATAAAAGGGACGTTTCATCCTGTCTTCTCTGTGCCTCCTCTTGTTCAAATGTCCACGTCTTATCTCCTGGGAAGACAGACTGAACCTGTAACCATTTGGCACATGCTCAGTTTAGTGTGTAGTGCTAGAGAGGTTTTATTTTTTTTCTTGGGAGAGTGCATGTGATCAGCACAGGGCCAATCAACACTGTCCATACAGAGGTCAGGGGTTCTGCATCCTGCTACAGAAGAAAGAAAACTCCTCCTACAAGCTTTAACCAGTGCTCAGCTGGACACTGATAGAAGCCACAAGGACTGCTCTAACTGCTGATGAGAAAAGGTATTTAGCAGTTTATATTTACTAAAATAATTGCATTTCCATGTTGTGTGTACTGTGGGAGACCAGATATAGTGAATGCAGGGTCCTGGGTTTAGTAACACTTTAAGGCCCAACATATATGTGTACGGCTGGCGGGAAGAGGTTAAAAAGCGTTAGCTGAATTTTGCCTTCAATTTGTTAGTGTATCTAAATCTGCTAGTTCATCTAACCCCAGACTGACAAGGATATTGCCCAAAGTTGCCCCCTTGTGCTCCTTCTTCCAGAGTGGTGGCACTCTAATACAGGAGGTGTGTTACTGGCCAGATCACCAGGTGAAAACAGAGGGGGAAAAGTACCTAAAACAGAAAATGACTGCAGCCACCACATCTAATGAGTGGCAATATATTCCATTTGTGGGGTTATTAGTGCTTTTGTTGTAGTTGTGCTTCCTGTGGGGTGAAGGTAGGTTGGTGGTAGGTGGGTGATGGGCACAGGGGGTGCAGATCTGAACAGATGCGGGGTGACAGCTGTCTCCTGTACACAGATCCTCCTCCTGACGTCTGATTATTGGACAGTTCCCGGACTGGGGGCCCCCGGCTGTCATCTATAGGGCCCCCATAGGGTGGAGGGTGATCAGACCCTAGACAGGACACTGTGCCCTCCATACACTCAGAACTACTCCGGGGAGCGATGACAGTGAGCGGACACCCGGCTGTACTGACCCTCCGTCTGTATCCTACAAGCCGCACACCGGGAGATCAACAGTGACCGGCTCACGGTGAGTTGTGTGTGTCCATCCCGTACCTGCAGAGTACACAGCCGCCACCGTACACCATGACACCCCGATATACACATCCCCGACACCCCGCACTTCTCACCTGCTCCCGGTACTGTGATCCGCCTCTCACCTGCTGCTCAGCTCCTCCGTCCCGGTAGCCGGGGATCATTGAAGTCTATGGAGGAGATGGGGAGCCGGGAGCCCGGCAAAGATCGGGAGGAGCGTTCCTCTGTTCCCGACACGCCCCTTCATCCATCACCATCCAATGACGCTGCTCCCTTCTACCCTTCATCTGCATAAATGTCCTGGCTCCTCCTCCCCCTCTCACCATTGTTTGTGGTGTCCGCTGTCTGTCAGTGGTGACGTTTGATGACGTCACACAGCACACACTTTTTGTTTTCTCTCTCTTTTTGCTGCCCCCTTGTCTTCCATGTCAGGAGGCTGTTCTCTGCGGGTTGGCTGTGAAGTTCATGGGAGGACAGGGAGCTGCGAGCCTGGATTGTTTTTTTTTACAGCTGATTCAGTATTGATTTCAGAAGTCAGCACC